TTAAGAATCTTAACGATCGCAGTCCAATATTAAATTACCGATCACCGCTGATATCCGTGATATAGTTGATAAATCGAAGATCCGATCTCAGCCAATATACCTTCTCGTGACGTGATAGATCGAAGCCGAATATTGAATCGCCGAATCGCAGTTACGAAGTGACATTACACGTGATCCCGGAAATACGCAGTACGCTAAAATAAGAAGAATATAGAGTATTAGTATTGGATATTAGCAAGGCATATTAGAAGAATTTAAGAAGACTTATCTGAATCCCGGTAACCCACAACAAGACCTTGAATCTCGGACCAAGTCTTCCACGCCTTTATTCGAAGCCTCCCACTCAAGGTTCAGGTGTCTTGAAGCCCGATAGTGGATTGTTTAGCTGTTTAGCTTAGTGTTTTAGTTAGTTTTAGATTAAAACTATTAGTCACCACTTTCACAACGTACGTACTGTACATGTAAAAATACCTTATCCAGGTGCAAAATTTTTTATGTTATGTTAGGATTAGGGTGAGCGTTTGTGTGAGGGTTAGAGTTAGGCACTATGTAGTAAAATCGCTCAAGAAAAACTTTTTGAGTGTACATAAGATGGTTTCTTATGTAATCGTTTGAGAAACAAGCAAGCGGACGTTTTGTTTTGAATCTTCCTGATCGTGTTACGTTACATGAGCTGATTCATTATTGGTCGATCAACACGTGAAGTAAGGTTTTGTTGGCGCCCCCAATAAGAAATTTGCCTCTTTGATTACATAATGTAGGTAAAGAATTTTAAAAATTTTTAAAAAATATCTATTCATGCATCATATCGTCTTGCACATAATAAATTTTTTTGATTCACTCGAAAATTGCCAAATTATTGATTGTATTAGACAAAATTATATTGCATATTTTTTCAGCCAACAGATTTATTTATTTACAACCTTTGTTACAAAATTTCGAGGATTGAATAATAGTTTGAGGAATGTATAATCCTGTATTGTTTTGTTTAAAAAATCTGAATTGATAAAACAAATTGGTGTAACTTTTTGAAAGCTCGTCTGAAAGTATAAGGAGATTATAAGCTTTATATCAACATACTATTGATGTGGAATATAGTAATATCATAAATTAAATTTTATTTTGACCAGTGTTTTTGTGTTTTTTCTTGAATCAACTAGCTCATAATTTTTCATTATACAATTATGTCTCTAAATTATTTTCGCTTCTCTTAATTAAATGAAACATTCTGCCATAACTCAACATTTGAACTTTGAATTACGTGAATTCCTTAATATGTTCAAATACTCAACGTAATATTCCAATGGTTGTTCAAAGAATTAATCTAGAAACATTGTATTTTTATGATTACATAATTATATAGTTATTATTGAAGGAAATTTTTTTTTCTTCATAAAAATTTATTTTATTCCATAAATTCGAAACTTAGGTTATATTTCCTTATTCATATCAATAAATAACGATGTCATACTGTATTTTATAGTCAATGCTACCTATCTCTTTTTATGTCATAGCATCTTTTGCATATATATATCTTTGTTAAATAAAAGCTTATTAAAAATGAGAAGTCGTAATATGTACCTATGTACGTACGGATTATCATATATGAAGGCTGCAAACGTTAAATGTGAAGTAGAATTTTAACACTAATGTTAGGGATCGAAACAAATATATTCCGAAAAATCGAATATAGTATCGGAATATTTGGCGTCAGTACTAATTTCCGGTGCGTTCGGTTCCCGAAAATTAATGCCACCATCAATATTATCTATTCTAAATGTTTCTTCTGTTGTTACGTTATTATTTATTCGATGTAGAGATTTTTTCCTACAACCCTTTTTCGGTGAATATTTATAGTCTGGATAGACTTCGCTATGCCTATCTTTGGCGAGCTTTTCGAGGGTTTCAAAAAAACGAAGAACTTCTTTCGGTAGTTTATTCCATTCTTCCGAAGCCAAACGAGAGACTTCCCCATTGCTCATTTTTATTTCTTTTTGTCTTAATTTAGCGTGAAAATCACGACGGAATAACAAAAAGGCATTTTGGGGCCTTGGGGGTGAAGCAGAAGAAGGATTTTTTCGAAAATTTTTCGCTTTGCGCGAATTTTTCGGTGGTGAAATAAGCTCTTCAATTTCTAACGTTAAGCTATACGGAAAAGAGTGACTAAAAAATTCATCATTTAATGAATTTTCATATAATGATTTAGAACCCATCTCGGGAGATGCATTAAATGAGAGTTGGATTTCTCCCGATTTTTCTTCCAATGACATTTTTCATGTCGGAGGATTCAAAAATCAGCGTGGCATTGCCTTTAAATATAAAAATTTTCCATTAGTATAGTTATTGATTTATTTTTTAAAAAAATCTTTCGGTTTATCCGGCTATAGCAGATGTCCTAACAATTTGTGCAACAAAATTGAATAATGATTATTTCTTGGTATCTTTTGGTGAAACTGTTGCAGTACGATCGTGTCATTCGGCTTTATTTAGTATCGTCTTTTCCGGAAAAACTTAAATTTTGAACCAACCATTTTACGTGAAACTTAAACCTATGATATTATGATGTAGAAAGATATGCAAATCGTTACCGTGTTAGAATTCTTCCAAAATAAGTTTCCTCAGAAATAAATACCCCCTATCCAACAATTTGAAAATTTTGGCCTGCTTTATAACAATTAGCCAGCATTATACGTAAATTAATTGTTATTTTTGGAGACAATGACAAACACTAAATTTGTACATATACACATTTCATAGGTTACCTAATTTCAATAGTAATTTAAACAAAGCGAGATAGCAATAGCCTCTATCTTATGTGTATTATGTAAATCCGTCTTTTTCAACAAAGTCATTCATATTGATCTGCGTAAATAATCTTGTTATGTACTGAACAGTATTTTATAGCTAAATTGTCTCTTGTAAGTTAATAAACGTACCCTTTATGCTTAGGTTTAAATATTGTTATGTGCGGGCGAAGTTTACTTTCTAAGTTTTTATGCTAAGCTGAATTTAAATTATATTTTTGCAAGTTTTTCAATGATTTATAATTACAGCAGATTCAACTACTTCATTTTAGAGTTAATTATTTTATAGCGCTATAATGCTACAATCATAGGATTTTAAAGCCAATTAAAAATTTAATATTTTATTCCAGTACATAACCTGTTTACTTGCTTTAATGGTTTTTTATTATCTAATCAGATTAAGTTTTGTGAAAATTCCATGTGAATGTAAAAATTAAAAAGTTGATCTATGCTCAAATATTTCACAAATTTGTAAATATTAGATATTTGAGCCACATTTATAACGTCATAGAAACAATTTCAGCTTGGCTGAAATATTTCAGTACCGTAAAAGTTCATATACAAGAACCCCAAAATAGTAGACCCACCATGAATTAGACCTGGGTGCGGACCACAGAATCTTTATTAATTAAATGCTGTTTTTTTCAAATAGTTAAAATGCCAATTATAAATACGAAGTGTGTATGCACTTTAAATTTTTTTTCTTTTCGTGATATAACTTCTGGGCAAGTACTAGACCCGGGTCTACTAAAGGGTTTAAAGATTGGTGGAATGAAATAAACCCCGGTCTTTTATATGAACTTTTACGGTACTGATTGTTGATATACAGTAAAATTTGCAAAAATTTTTCATCAAAAGATTTTGCCAAATAGTTTCTATAACATGTATAGGTCCGTTATTAAATAATAGTTTATATCGACATACAGTATAAGAAATAAGAAATTGGAAATTAAATCTTGGAGATTTTAATATAAATAAATAGAAGTTTGCTATTTAGCGCCAATGACAATCACCGTGTTGTTATATCTTAAAAACCAAGTAAACGAGAGGGGATGCTCTAAATAAATATTCAGAACTCTAAAAACTTTTTGCTAACTAAATTTTGATTTTATATATAACCTCTAACTCAGTTTATAACTTCTAACCCCAAATTTTAGCAATAAAATTGTATATAATGTTAAATACCACCGGTAATTTCTAACATTTATATTAATTATGTTAGCAATAATAAATAAACACAAAAGACAAGCATGATCATCGGAAAGACTCGCAATACTGTCAATTACTGTAGTAGAATAGGAAAAAACACTAATTCTATAAATGCACACCCTCCCTAAGTGCATGCTATAGCCTGGTCCCAAGGGCGTGCAATTAGAGAGGTTTTGCTGTATAAGGTAGTTTTATTAGTAAAATTTGGATTAATTTTTTCACGCGAACGGAAATTTTTTATGGGTGAGCTACGGGGTTAGAAAAATTCTGCCATCACGTAATGATCTACAGCAAATTAGCCAATAATTAATTATGATTTGATGCAACGTAACACGGTCAGAAAAATCAAAACAAACGTTCGGTTTGTAAAAAAACAGCATGGATAAAAATCCTCTGATTGGCTAATAAAAATAAATAAAGACAATATAAAAATTGTCCAATCCAATTTCGGATCTTAATTTCACGAGATCAAAATTAAGATCCGAAATTAGATTGGATAATTTTTTATATTGTTTGTATTATTTCTATTTATTTTTATTTAGCCAATCATAGGATTTTTAACCATGCTTAAAAAAAACTAAGAAACGCTTATTTCTCAAAAATTTGTATAAGAAATCACCTTCCATGTATTAACAAAAAGTTTTTCTTGAGCTATTTTGCTATTAAAAGCTCTCAAACCCTACAAAGATTTTTAGATGTGATCACGTGATGGTAAAATTTTTATGGCAATACGTACTGGGGAAGATATATAAAAATGACCTACATTCACCCTACCCTTAATCACCAACCGTGCCACGACGATCGTTTCCCAGAATATCGATAAGAAATATGTAACGATAAAAAATACCAATACGTAAAATCGTAGTATGATACTAACTAAATAAAGAAAAGAAAAAAAAAAAATAGTGCATACCGTATTTTCGCGGAATAACGCGCAAGGGTGTAATTTCGAATTTTTAGCCTAAATTAAGCTTAATTTGGGCCAAAATTCGAAATTACACCCTTGCGCGTTATTCTGCGAAAATACGGTAACACCGGATATCTGAAAGATTTGAAATTATCCGGTTAATTAGACACAGACAAACGGATGACAGATTTATCCGAATGGAACAAAAACAGAAATTTTTGGAAAATAAGCCCACAATGTGATAAATTTGGCTCAGTAACAATTTTCACTTGCAAAATTCCGAGCAATTCCGGCCTAGTTTTTTTTAAACCAATCAAATAGAGAATCTGCAGTGAAAATTTGTTCTGCCAGCTAGGGTACAGCTAGGGTTAATATTCAATATTCATAAAGTTCACATTCCTACGTCGCCACACACACACTATTCAATAATATGCGAGATCTGCAATCATATATACTGTGAATTTTCGATATTACACTGCTCATGATATTTGTTTAATGATAACACTTCTCTTCTTTCTACATAATATACTTTTTTTTATGCATATTTTTTAAATATTTACTGCATAATTTTTCCTTGCAAATTATCAATGTTTGAAAATTACGTAATAAATGTCTGCTTTATTTATCATACAAAATTTTACTTAGCACTATAACACATTATGTCATCATACATACAAACTAGGTATTATATAGTATTATATGTAATTGCAATCGAACAATCGTAAAAATTTAATTCAAAATAATGATAATAATTATGTTAAATTAAATAAAACAAAACAATCGATTAAAAATTTTGCATTTGAAAAAAATACGGACTCCGTACGTAATTTTCACAAACAATTCAATCAAATCAAGATTTTCCTTATAAATAGAAAAGGTAATTTATACACTAATTTTTCAAATGAGGATGCATTAAATTTTCCAATAATAACATTAAAATATTCGTTTTTTTTTAACATATTCATAATTTTTTTTTTTTTATTTCTCTTATTTTACGTCGATGATGCTATATACACGTATCTTCTTTTTTTTTTTTTTTTTTATGCATAACACATCTTTTTGTGAATAACATAAATATATATTGTGCCATAATATATATATTTTTACCCCGTATTACGCGTCTCTCTGTACCATATTACATATTTTTGTTACATAAAATCTTAGGTGTAAAACTTACAGTATATAGATAAGCATAAAATAAGGTACCAATTTTAAAGAAAAAAAAACGTAAACATAACGCTAATCAAGCATATCATGATTTATAAATTGGAAAAAAAGATAGTCTATTTCTTGAGTAGAAGTTTCTTGATCATCCGTTTGATCAGAAATTTCTTGCTGAATTAAAGAAATGTTTTTCGCATAGCAATCATTATTTGGACTTCCGTTATAAAGAAGGAAATCATTAAGTGTCTTAGAAATTTCTTGAGAGTTAAACTCTTCAGAAAAATTATCAACGGAAGAAGTTTCATCTGGTGTCATATAAATATGACTTTCGGGCTGTAATTCAATTATACCCATTGAATTATTTTGTTGTTTTTTTTTTGGTTTACTTTTTTTTTTAGGAGAAAATTTGAATTCTGGATATAATTTGCTATGCTTCTCCTTGGCCCGATCTTCCAGAAATTTAAAATATCGACGAACTTTGGGAGGTTGTCTCCGCCATTCATCGGCCGCTAAACTGGAAATTTTAGTGTTTTTCATTTTTATTCCATTTAGTTTTAATAGAGCTGTGAAATTTCTACGAAATAAGACCCAATCATTTTGTGGTCGTGGTGGATTTGATAGATCTGGGTGTTTTTTATATTTTACGGTTGTTCGAGAAGTTTCTGGAGGAGATATAAGTTCTTCGATATCCATGCCTAAAGGATAAGGTGGTTTTTCACTGAACAATTCATCATCTGATGAATTTTCAAAAAAAGATTTATAGAGTCCCCTCTCGGGAGAGTCATTTATAAATTGAACTTCTCCCAATTTCATCATTGACTGATAAGTCATTATAATTTTTATTGTGAAGATTCAAAGACTAGGGAGGCATTGCCTTTAAATAAAAAAAAATTTCAATATATGTCGATATATTCATTTAATTATTTAAGATTTAAAAAAAATAAAAAAGCAGTTTATCCGGCTGCGTCATAATAATTTGTGTAACAAGAATAGAATAATGGTTAATTCTTAATATCTTTTGGCGAAACGGAAAACAAACTTCTGAAATTAATGCAGCATGAACGAATCATTTAATTTTATTCAATATTACCATTTCGGAAAAACCCAAAGCTTTCTAACTAATAGAAGCCTATGAGATTGCAAATCACTTACCATAATGGTATTATTACTCCCTCGGAAATAAGCATTCCCGGCCAACGCTATGCAAATTGGCCTGCACTATGTGACCTTATTTGGGACAATGACGAATACCAAATTTGTACAGGTGCACGTATTGTACGTATGTACGTACGAACGTACGTACATAGAGAGCGTTTAATAAATTAAAACAAAGTAAGATAGCAGTAATGTCCTCGTATACTCCTAAAACTGATGTGCGTGATGTACAGACTTTGTATTGGTTTTGAAAGATTATCAGACTTGAGATGAATTGGATTTGTCATAAAGTAATATAACCGATAAAAAAAAAAAAAGTGGACTATTAATTATCAAAATAACAGATTATCATATTTAAATTATTGAACAGTCATAGTAAATTAATTTTTTATCAAATACACGGGATTTGCTTCAATATTTTGCTACTTCTCAATTAATTACACATACTACTTCATTAAATTTCTGTTATTTCACTACATTCCTAGTATATTTTAAGCACAAAGGATGGAGACGAATGAAATGAAAGTCTTAAGCCTCACTTTGCGCGATTCTTCATGTGTCGGTTCAACAGATCCAGGCTTAGGTCAGAATCCAGAAATTGAACCTAAATTAAATGTTCTTTGAGTTTTTATTTTATAAATATTGTACGGGATTTTAATACAAGAAATTTATTTCAATCCATTTTTGCTATCTCAAGCCTTTAACCCTTGTTTTAACTTTTATAATTGCTGTACATCAAAAATAAAATTTAAATTTAATAATTAATTAAAGTAACATACTTTAACTAAGTAAATTTCGAATGAACAATTAACCCTATGTACTATGTATGATGTCAGACAAATAGCCTATTGACCATCGTGGAATTAGATATAACCGTTTTTAGTACAATAAGTAAATTTATTTAAGAGCGTAATAATTGTGGCTTAGGCCTATAAAACATCATCGCTTTGATAATTTATATACTTTTCTAGAGCTTGAGCTTGACTTAACAGTTCTTTAAAAGTGTATGATATACAGTACGTGTAGGCACGTTTTTAGTTGTCAGCTTAGATTAAATCGGAAGTTACACAAGATGTAACGTGAGAAAGAGATCTGCCTCGATGTATCATCCAATAAGATTTTACTACCAGTTTTATTAATAAAACCATACACTTCGTTTCACTATGTTCATGGTATCTGGTATAGATAAATCATCCTAAGTACTTGTTTCGTATGTAGATGTACTGTACTAGAACAATTTATAAATCTTTAAAAAAAAACCCCCGATTATAACATAGCCATGAAACCTCAAATCACGAATAATATTTAAATGCAATTTAAAAAATAGATTATTCACAAGTTTCACAAATTATAGTTATAGCAATTTCGATCAATGTTCTTTTATTGGATAAAAAATTAATTCATGCTTGATAGGAATCTTTCAATGAAGCCACTATAAAATTTTTTAATAATATGCGTGTGCAGTATCGTTTGGATCATATGATAAGAGACCTTTTTAAACTCTATTCTGAGTTGTAGATACTAAAGCATAAATTATATACAATAAAGTCAAATGGCAACAAAAGAAAATGAGCAAGTAATGCAACGAAATTAAAGATCAACAACCAATTAAGAGCAAGTCAACAAACTCACTAATAACAATAATAAAAACGATGATTTTAGAAAATATATAAATATTTATTTAAAATATATAGTTTAGTAAAAATTGTATAGTTGATAAATATTGTATTTAATAAAAAAAATTGTTATAAGATAAAAATTATTAATTTAAAAATATTGTTAAAAATCCGAAAACAATTAACGAAAACAATGTGTACTGTACATATTTGTAATATCGAAATTCTTTAAAACACCCGAAATCAAATAATTATACATATATGCATATGTATATATATTTTTTGCATTTTCATGATCTTATTTCCCTTATAATGACCCCAGAATATATATATAATTGCCATAACATATTTTTTTGCATAATACATATCTTATAAAACATGAATTCTTATACCATATTGCATATCTTATGCCACATTAAATTTCAACATAAAGTTTGGAAAATCAATAAATCTTAGTAGAAAATGAGATAACATAAATGGCCGAAACAAATCTTATGATTTTAGAAGTGATCATACAGGTATATCAAAAGCATAAAAAAATAAGCTGCCGGTGTTTTAAAGGAGAAAAACGAACGAAAACTTAACAGTTAGCACCAGGTTGCTGATCGTAATTAATATAATGATCGAAATTTTGATCAGTAGTCTGATGTTCGATCGAATCAAAAACGTATTCGCGATAATCAACGAAATATTGATTGAAAAAGTTTTGATCAGTAGTCTGATATTCGATCGGACCAAAAACGTATTCGCGATTATCAACGAAAAAGCCTTGATCATTGGCCTGAAGTTCGGAATTATTTATCGGTTCAAAACCGTATTCGGGATATGATGGTAAATCATTGAAAAATTTTTGTTCAGTAACGACATTATTTATCGATTCAGAAACGTATGGATATAATAAAAAATCATCGATAGCAAAATCATTGCGTAAACCAAACGGATAAGAAATTATGCCCAAATCGGGGAAAAATGGGAGTTCAAAATTAGAACTATTTTCAATAGAAGTTTTAGGGTTTTTTTCTGATTCTTCAATTGTAGTTTTACACGTTTTTTCATAGCTAATTGTCGAGAATCGTTCGGCTTTGTTATTTTTTCGGTGTGTAACTTTTGATCGTGGCTTTTTAGGTTTGGGATCATATTTATAGTTCGGGTATAATTCGTCGTGTCTTTTTTTCGCCCAAGTTGCAAGAACATCGAAGTAGCTTTTAGCTTCATTAGATAAATTATCCCACACATTTTTTGCTTCGCGTGACATATCATTAAGTTTCATTTTTGTCCCGTTTCGCTTTTGTTTTTCAAAGAAATCACGGCGAAAAAGGATAAATGCATTTGAAGGCCTCGGTGGTGAGGCAGATTGAGGATTTTTTAGAAATTTTTTTGCTTTACGAGTGTTTTGCGGAGGTGAAATGAGTTTATTTATTTCTAATGTTAATTGATAGGGTGAACTACTAAACAATTCATTATTCAATGAATTTTCGTAGCACGATTGTGGAATTCCCGATTGGTTCATGATTTCTTGAGATTTATTCATAAAATTCGAATTTTTTTGCTTGCGAGGGTTCAAAGATTAAGGAGGCATTGCCTTTAAATAAGAAGATTTCCATTCGTATACTAATTAATTTATTTATTTTAAAACAAAACAAAACAAACAATTCTCGATACATCTATTGCTTGTGCAACAGAAAACCGAATAATGATTTTAATTCTTTTAATGTTTTTTGGCGAACAGAAACAAACAATTACAGTAAGTTCGCGTCATTTAACCTTATTTAGTCCGGAATTACTGGAAACTTGCTTGATGTATTAACTCAATTCCATAGAAGCAATATAAAAGATATGCAAATCATTACCGTGTAACCCCAGAAAAGGCACCTCTGGCCAACACTACACAAATAGTGGCCTTTTTGATGATAATTTTGACCAGCATTACAAAGTAAAAATTCCTATTTTATCGATAATGGCATTACTAAATTTGTACATAACATGCATATACATACATCCATATGTACATAACTGACAGGTACAGTACCTTTATAGTCTACCCAATTTTCACTGAACAAAGTAAAGTAGTAACGGCCACATATTGTTCTCCGGGATATTTAAAACATGCATGAATCTCACGGATCTCTAACAATGTCCCTATTAAATTTAAAAAACGCCACAGTATGTTGAGAATCTAGAATCTAGATTAATAAAAATATTATTATACTGTATCGGTATAGTCTAGCTGGCTTGTTCAATCAATTAATATTGAGGTTCAAACTAGATACGTATTAAAAAGTACATTCGACCTAACCTAACTGAATTCACTATATTCTTATGGTTCAGTCCTTGATCAATTTAACACATGCTTAAACCATAATTACATGTCAAACTTATTTTGCTAAGAATAATCAATATTAGCCAATATATAGTAAGCGGTGTGACTCAAAAATTGGTTTAAAATAAATTCAACATTATAAAGTTTATTAACAAGAATATGATGTATGTTTTACTGTATGCCTGTACATACGTACGTACGTACATAGAATTTTCTAGATTCAAACTATTTCTTTTTTGGTTGTTCTATAATACGTATAATTGTAATAAATAAGGTTTGGCGTATTGCATGCGCATACATAGAATTATAATGGATTGTTGAGTAATTACTATATTTAGTAGAAATCTATACACTAACCCGGAGATGATTCTTCCAGCATATCTTATTAGTGATTAGTGCAAACAAATAAGTAAATTATCGCTTTTTTTTTGTATGCCATTGTTAATGTAATTTGTACAATTTAAAGTTTTTATTAATTGTGTACTGTGCTTCACGCAATTTATCCAACAACTATAAATATAGCTGCAATTCTCTAAATGCGCATTCTCTTTAAGTGCAGCTTACTTAGGGGGTTTTGCCGTATATAAAACAATCAGGTAACTACGCATCGCAGTCTCCCTAAAACTCGGAACTTAACTAGTGTTGCTATCAGGTGTGAAGATGTTACAATAATCAATAGCTTTATTTTCCGGGTTTACCTAATATTCATGTGTTTAAGATGTGTAAAATATTAAAGTAAAATCCTGTAGTAAATCTAAATTTAACATATGTATACAAAAATTAGGTTCTTATGTAATGCAATGATGAATATCAAAAATATTTTACTACAGCATGCCAGCTAGATTTCGCCCTTGAT